TGTATAGCATAAATATCGCTTATAAACACTGCTCTCTATTGTAACTTGGGTTCGTGCTTGCTATGGCATTATCAGCAGTATTAAGTGCATCGTAAACTATAGCTGGTCTATTGATGTGTACACGGATGTGTTCACCTAACGTATCTAAGTAGTATATATTATACTTTTACATGTGCATACATATATATTCAAATGATTCCATTATTTTTAAGATAATTAAGAAAAAAGGATAAAAACAAAAAATGAATTCGTTTAAATAGAATGGTATAACCAGTTAAAGGAAAATTTGTTAGCCATTGATAGGATATAATAAAAGAACTCTTAAACTGATAAAATTAATCAACCTTGAGAACGTAATAATAGTATAAGAGTGAAGCCCTTAATCCTTAGGTGAGATTTACCATACACGTGCGACTTCCACTCTAAAACCGCTATACTTGTATATAATGTGTATATGTGTGTATGTATATATATATATATATGTGTGACAGCTTTGTTTGAAAGTACTACCAACTCTTGCCTATTCATGAGAGACAATGTAGAAAGAGAAAGAGAGATAAAAAGAGAAAGAGAGACGTTTTATCGACAGCTTTGCAAGCTATGGTGCATAAAAGGACGAGCACGTACTGAGCGTATATATAGAATAATAAATATAGTTGTAAATAAATATGTCGCCGCGGCGTGTAATACGTGCCCGCGTATGTGTGTGTACGTGTAAATACATTCTCGTAATCAATAAAATAAATGAACTTAAAATGTTTAAAATTGATTTTTCAAGAAGAGGATCCTCTTCCCGTTTTCTTTTCCATTTTGATGTGTTTTTACTTTCACCCCTTATCTCTCTCTCTCTCTTTCTCTTTCTAAAAGTTCCCTTCTATTTCTGTTCTACTAAACGGGGTCAAGGCTATATCGTGACGAATATAACCAACTTCTTTGTTCGGATTTAAACATTCTTAATCATATATATATATATTTTACGAATTAATTTAAGTATTTTAAATGAAATATGAAGATTTGAACACACGTATGATTTGAAATTGAAATTGTCATCTCGATTATCATTGAACAATATTAATTCGCAAAAACATCCCTCCACCCCTCGTTTTCCATCCCTTATTTTTCCTCTCAAACTATAGCAAATTTTTTAAACGGAAGATAATATAAATTCGATAATGAGATTGTAAGAGTATTTGTAATTATAATAATGTAAAGTTAAAGGAAATATTACGATGTATTTTTTGATGACATTAAGAAAATATTACAATGTAACTACTTCTTCTAATCGGTAATTTCGATCGATAATATATCGTACGATTAGTATCATCGTTAGAAACAATGGCCGGACGTTATATTCTATTCTGTTCTATACTATTCTATTCTATTATCTTCTTTTACTATTTTCCTCTCTCGCTCGACTATTAAACGGAAGAGTCAGACGAGTAGGCGTAAAGTCAGAAAGATTCGTTTACGTCGAGTTTACTGGAGGAAAAAAGAAAAAAAAAGAAAAAAAAAAAAAAAAAAAAAAAGAAAAAGGAGAAGAAAACTGCCTGATTGCTCGCTATCGTAACTTAAATAAAGCGAACTATATTTAAATCGCTTATTTAACCAACGTACCTACCTACCCTCTTGAATCAACTTCAGACACCATGGCGTGGCTTGTACATTTTTATACGGGGTCGATCCAAATGGTTACCGAATTTTATGAACGTGTTATTTAATATTTATATATATATATACATATATATTTTTGGTTACCCGAAATAAAACATTTCTATAGATACATATATATTCCTGATATACGTAAATTATTCACAAATTCGACACGAATTTTTATCGATTATCTAAATCAGGACAAATTTACCAGGTAATCCGATAATTAAATTATGAAAATGATTAAATTACTAAATTTCGAATAATGATCACAAATCAGATCAAGGTTTTCCCCTCCCCTTCCCCCAGTCATTATTTGATTCTACTATAAAAATTTATGTTGATTACTTCGACAAAAGGAAACAGAATTATTGATTAAATGTTTAGAAAAAAAAAAAAAAAACATTTGTTCATACTTTATATCGAAAGATCGAATAAATTGAAGTTTGAAGAAAGCGGATGGAAAGGCATAATTTTGTGGCAACCCAGTATGTAGAAAATACTCCGAGTTCCGTTACTTGTTACTGAATACTCTCCTCACTACAGTCGGAAGTAAAAATAAGTAAGAAATTTCGAGTCGGGTCTTCTCTTCCTGATGCAGAAAGTGGAATGGAGATGTGGAGATGGAAACGGAGACGACGACTCAAGTGTGTCGGGGTTGTCTGTTAAAGAGAAAAAAAAGAAAAAGAAAAAGAAAAAGAGAAAGAGAAAGAGGAGGAAGAGAGAGAGAGGGGTCGTTCACCCATCAAGTGGAGACGCCAACTTTGTTGCTTCCCCTATTTTTTTTCCTATTTATTTGTCGAACTTATTGTCTCAATTTTCTCTTAACCAAATAAAAAGAAAAATACCTTGACTTTGGACCTAATTAATTTCTTCAAATAATAAAATAATCGTTCGTATATTCCTTAATTCGTTTTTTAATTTTCGAGTGAATTTTATTAATCCCTCATAACAAAAAAAAAAATAGAAACCTTAAACTCCAATTGGTAGTAATATAATTTTTGTTAAAACAATCGATTATATTATTATAATTTATTGAAATAAATTTAGGATACAATTTAAGTGCTGATTTGTTGATTTCTCCTACGAAAAAAAAAAAGAAAAAGGAAAAAGAAACATTTCACTTGCATTTAAGCTAATAAATGTTTGATAAATAATCGATCATATTTTCTAATCCACTAAAATAATATTAATAATATAAAGATCAAACAGGGATAGATAATCGATCACGCGTTTAGGGGTTAATATAGGTGGAAAGCTTGGAATTATTAAAGTGCAGAGTAGTTATTGATCCTCGAACGTAACGCGGAAGATCAAAGTACGAAGGCTTTAGAAATCTCGCTTTTCTCTCAGTATATCTATACATACATCATATACATATACATACATACATACAGATACAACATATATATTCGTACAGGGTGGTTCAAATAAAGTGTTACAAGATATTACAGATAATTAAATTGTACGCGAAAGGGGCTTATATTTGAAAGTGCAACACATATATCGAAGTAATTTAAATGAACACACTTACACCTCAGGATTCTTTTTTTAAAAAATAACTATTAAAATAATTCTCATAAAAAAAGAAGAAATTAAACAATAATTACTCCAACATATAATTTAACTTTATTTTAACATAACTGTTCATATTTATATAATTATTATCGAACGCGAATTATTATCGAAATGAAAGTGAATGAATTGAGAATAAGTTTTCGAAGAAGACAAATCGTAAGAGTTTATTTGAACCATCTTATATATATTTTATATATATAATAAAATATGCGAATATATACAGGAACGTATAATATATATATATATATATATCGGAGAAAGTGCGACGATGAACATAATTTTATTTCTTCAGAGGGTGAATCAGTACGAAGCACGAAGTATGAAATGGTGATACAGTATGAGTCACCAGCTCGTCGTAAAAGGGAGGGTCGCTTGTATAACGAACAAAGGGAGCGAAGGAGTAGGTGGATATTCCAAGTAGAGAAAAAGGGTGGTCGGAAGGTGGGCTTGTTGTTCAGGGGTGAGAGAGAGAAAGAGAGAGAGAGAGAAAGGGAAAGAAAGAAAAAGAACAACTAACGAGGAAGAGAGGACTCGTTTCTTTTAACGTGACACAATATTATTTCTTGCCTTGGTAATTGATCTATCGGAAATACTAACAACATATATATATATATATATATATATTTTATCTCGATATTAAAACTATACCAGTTTATACGTATAGTATATATATATCTATTTATACCCTAACCGGTCAAGTGACCGGTCTTTAACAAAAGTTACCATTTCTTTTTTTTCCCCCTTTTCTTTTTTACTATTCAATACTGATAATTAGATGATAATAATAATAATAACTTGGCTTTTCAATATTATACTTTAAACAAATTTGTTTCATTTATAATGCAAATATATTTAATATTATTATTAAACGATCGCGTGTGGAAATAATTTATTTATAAAGTTTTAGGGCACAAACAAAAAATATAATAAATTTAATCTTACTATTAAAAAAATAAAATCCGTTTGAAAAATTTAGGATAATTCGACTCGTAGCTTGGGGAAAATAAAAAAGAAAATGCATCACGGGAACAATCGTTGGCCCTTTCAAGACGATTAAAATGATCGAACTATGATCTTCCTTATTTATATACGTGTGTGTACTTTTTTCTATCAAGACAGTTACAGTTCGGTAGCCCTAATGTAAGTACGTCGAAATCGATGTGTCTGCTTTTCATCGAATATATTATTCGTTTTAATATTTCGCACATAGCACGATTTTTAAAATTAATTATTTATAATTATTAATTCTTTTTTTTTTTATCGTTAGTTCATCAAATTCAATTATCTTTTCCTCACCGTTTTTTTTATTAATTCGTTGTCAAAATTCAAAAGTGGATTTTTAACAAACGACCCCCATGATTTATTTTCAACGTTTTTTATTTAATATTTAAATTAATTATTATGTATGCGTGTGTGTTTTTTTCCTTTCACGAAGTAGATGTTAAAAACACAACCAGTAAAACATTACTAAAAGAAATATATACTTGTGTATACGTGGTGTGTTCTTTAAAAAGTTTCTTTACTTTTCTTTTCTTTTCTTTTTTTTTTTGTTCCATTACGTGGAACCTTCCAACGATAAACTTTATCTATAATGCATGCAGTAAAAGACTGGTAGTAGTTAGAATTCCCGATAAATTTCTATTCGTTGCAATTCGTGGTTTACATTCGAGAATCGTAACAACGCTCGGTGTTGTAAATAGAACTTTTTACGCAATGTTTAATGAAAATCGATTAAATAGACAATGAGAAATTGATTAATCGTTTGAACTCACCGCATGAACCTGACCGATAAGCCTTTGTGCGTTCTTTCGATCGTCGGCCATTGCTTCTTCTTCTCCTAGAAAATTATTAACAATTGTATTAGAATATTTCTCTTGGAAACAATTCAAAAACTTTTCAACCCACACATATATATACATGTATATATATATATATTAATTCTTAAGCCTTGGAACAAGAATGACCATTAAATAAATAATAATAATATAAGTACAGTCTGTTTGGAAAAGAATTATACGCAGTCCAAATAATTTTGATTTATGCAGAATAATTTTTTGTGTGATTATATTTTTAATGAATTATAAAAATAATAATAAAACAAAATACACGAATAAAATAATTTCCTACGTAATATATATATTAATGTATTGAATAAGTTTGTTTATTCACATTATGATACTTATATAGATTTTTATTTATTTATATATATATATATATTTTTTTTTTGTTTCGTTTTTCATTATAAGCAAGTACAGATCATATAACTTAGCATACTAATTCATACACACGTATCTATTCGCCTATACAGAATGCACTTTCTCCTTGCGGTTATGGTACGTGTATATTAGTCAACGAAATCGAGCACTACTTGCAAATCCAAAAAAGCGATTTCTTTAGAGTTTCTCGATCGCCATAAACCAATGATATCGATCACGCTAATTTCGAAAAGTTCCTCTTATTGTCGGTGTGCTCATGCGCTTATGTATTTATTTTATATCCTACACGTGTATACATTATACTCCTATTCCTAGTCTACTGTTTATTATTTCACTATAGCTAATACATATAGACAAGTATATAGAAATGGTTTACAACCAATGTGATCGAGACCGCAAATTTTTTTTCTCTCTCTTTTCTATCTCTTATTTTTTTTCCTTTTCATTTCTTTTTGAGTTTCTTTTAACTGCACGAAACGTAGCAGCACATAGTCGATAGATTATCTATCAAGTTTTTACTTTGAAATACAACGGTAAATATGAAAATAAGATAGTAATGTGTTCAATGCAAACTAAAAACAAAAAAAGAAGTAATAATAATAATAATTTCTATTAAATAAAATATAAAATGAAGAGAAGCCCAAGTGCGTACTCGTGGCTTCTTATTCTCGAGACGAAGTGGATGCTGAAAAGACCGGTAGCCCAGTAGCCAGCTTGCTTATTTAGAAAGCACGAGTAAGAAGAAAAAGGAAAGATAAATAAAAATAAATAACAACATAAAAAGAAGAAGAAGAAGAATAAACTGAAGGCTTCGCGTGCACGCGACTCATACACGAGCAAAGAGTGACCGACCATGAAGACCTCGAGTGTCAGCAATGCAAGCACCGATCGCGACATTTCTCGACCTCGAAATGCCTTGCGATGTTCGAGATATCGAAGGAGGTGTATCCCTTTTATTGTCAGACGAGGACTCTCCTGTCTGACGTGTCACGAGAACTACATACTCCAAATGAAATGAGATATTCTTTACGTGTTAAACAAAAAAAAAAAACACACACAACAATGATCTAACTAATCTTTGCGATAAAATTATCGATATTTTTTATAAATATATTTATATATATATATATGATAAGTCGCAAATTTAATGACCCGGTTTTTACAAAAATTAATATTTTCTATATACAATTATATAATTTCCGATAATAATTAAATGATACTAACTTAAATAATGAATAAAATAAAATAATAATTATTATTATTATTATTAAGTATATTAAAACATACGAAATAAAGAAGATAATTCGTTCGTCATATCGTGCAAAATAATAATAAATATAAATAGGAAATAACAAAAGAACAAAAAGAAATGTTAAGGCGCCATTAGAAAAGATATACCTATCGAAAGAGGAAACGTTTAATCGGCAAACCACTCTGCTATTTTCAGTACTTATTTACTTCTACCTCGAGTACGTTACTCGACATTCTCGGCAATAATAATCGGTATCGAGATATTTCGCAAAATTGTATATAAGTTACGTACGTAATAAAAGGAGTGACGCGGATTTTGATACGCCATGTTTGCCCGAATGTTTTATCGTTCGATCAAAATATTGATAATAAATGCAATGTTCGCGAAACCTGCAGAAAAAATAACAGCCATTACATTTTCACGAATATACAAACACATAAGCGCATATAATTATGCATACGGTAAGGCGTCGAAAGTATTTCCAATCATTAAAATAAATTACGATCATTTTCGAAGACCTCAGCGTCCATCTTTAAAAATCCTCGTCCTCAATTTTCTCATCAAACTTTCTTTTATCTTATTTCAAGAAACTCTGCAATATATATATCTATAATATCAACTTATAATTAAATAAAACGCACTAGATATAAACCTTTTTTTTTCCCTTTTAAATACAAAAATTATGCAATTTTCCTAACATCACGAATACTTTTCTGACCCTCACACCATTACACGATATACGTCGATTTTAACTTCACCCAGGATCAGTGGTTCTCAATAGATTAATTATTTTCAGATATCGGAATAGATCATCTATCGAAGTTAAACTATCTCTTTGAGCTACGATTGAAAGTTTGATAATCATTAATTCGTTTTAAAAAAAAAAAATCTATCTACCATTAATCGTGAATAATTATTTTTCGAACAAAAAAAAAAAGAAAAATGACGGATCTTTCACATATATAAAAACGAACATTTGGAGGAAGCGCAAATATTTGTACGTGTTAGTTGAAGAGTATCTTTCCCTCCTCCCCTCCTTATCCATCCCCCCTCATGTGTACACATTGTATATATATATATATATACCTTCAATATTCCTCCTACCAACTAATCTTATCAGTTTCGAGCCCGTATCTTCTTCGAACAACATAAACCGAACGAATTGCTCGTCGAAAAGTGCGAGCCGATGACGTTTACGATATCTATCTTTCTTTAAAACGTGCTGGAAGAACCTGTTTCTTTCTCTTTCCCTTACTTTCCTACTAGTACTCTCTTTCCCTTCTCTTCTTCATCTTCTTTTTCATTTTTTTTGTTTTTGGTTCTTTTTACTCACTTCGTTCCTATCCCTTTGAACCACGACGACGATCGAGAAGAGTTCGTTCGTACAAACAACAAGATCGGAGTAAATGATAAGTTAGGCTACTTTAACACTTCTATGGTTCGTCCCATAGTAGTACGTCTCTATCTACTTGTGAAATCTTCTAACACGAATGTAAAATCCATTTCAGATTCTAGAGAGATATTGTATTTATTGCTAAGGGGGTTGGTTCAGTACAATTCTCCTAAAGATTTCTATTTAAAATGTGTATATACTTTGAAATAGTTTTAGATTTAATTCCTCTTTTAAAAAAAAACATCAGCACGAAATTTTGTTGAGTGATTTTATGATATTTACATTGAAGTTGGCTTAACAAATTCCTGCTGGTTAGTAATTATATTTTTAAGCATTGATTGAAATATATAAATGTTTAAAAAGTATAAAAAGAATCTTGCAAATGAAGAATATAATATCTGTTAAATTTATAGAGATCACACATATATACAGATATATAATATAAATAATATATAAATACATTATTTTTTAGTATGTTTTTCTTCTACTTTTGATTTAGTTTATAGGCTAGATGATATAAGAATTTAAAGAGTTTTGTAATTAAATGAAAACTAATTATAAATCTAACATTAAAGCAGTATGAGAATTACTATAATTTATATAAAGTGATATTTAATCTAGTTTGTAAAACCAAATCCATTTATTAAGCCAACAGAATGTAAATTAATAAATCTATCTATCTAATATATAATAAATATATCTATTTATATAAATAAATAAAAAAATATATAGAAATAATAATTTAGGAATACAAATGAATAGAAAATATATAAAGTTTATAGGTTAGGAATATAAATGAATAAAAATAATGAGAAATATATAATGTACAGAAATTATAGGTTAAAAATATAAATGAATACTAATGAAGGAATCAAAAAATATATAAAAATTATAGAATAAGAATATGAAAGAACAAAAAACAGATAAATTAAAAATATCAACGCCTCCGAAGAATCGATGCTCCGTATTTGTATATCGAATTAACTTCGAAATGCGTCTAACAATTTCGTTACAACAATATTTCAACAAAAATACTATGCATCCACCTGTAATAAAGTGTCTTTTTAATCTAAAATCGTAAACGTATGGTTTGACACTAACCCCATAAGTATAATACGTAACTATTCATTTTATTTCAATATCCCATGTACGATTCCACAAATAATATACATTCGAATGAAATAAATGTTACGAACATACAAATGACTGTCACATCAATCAAACAAACAAACAAACAAACAAACAAACAAACAAATAAATAAATAAATAAAATGTAAAAAAAAAAAAATGTAAAGTGTGCATACCTCGAGCAAATTAATCTCGTTGATAGAAAAGCACCTACAACTTGGCTGCTCCCATAGACAACGATGACGAGGAGGATGAGAACGATTTTTTCAGTAATTTTCATTGGCGTCCTCCAATGGGACGAAGATTAGAAGAGTCCGGTATTCGTTGCCTTTTCCAATGTTGAACACGAGAAAAAGTTCTCTCGTATCGAGACACCTTCGTTCTATCTCGACGCATCCCTGCTATTCCTTTATCGTGATAGTTATCAAGAGAAAGATTATTATCTTTCTTATTATCTTTGCACAATCGTCAGATATTTTAAACAAATATTATAGCCTCGAGAGAAAGAAGAAAAATAATAAATTGATTTAAAAAATAGAAAAAATGAAGGATTCACTCGGAAAACATTGAACGGATCAGACACGCGCGAATCTCGGACGATGCGATTTCTCTTTCTGTCTTCTTGAAAGTATCCCCACCACTCTCTTTCTCACTTCCTCACGCTCTCTCTCTCTCACTCTTTCTCTCTCTTTCTAACTCAATTTTTTTTTTCTTTTTTTTCTTAATTATGTGGACGGAGGAATACACGCGGCGTTATGACGCGGACGTTGCCCCGGCGTGCGATTAGTTTTAAACGATACTTTTTTATCCTTAATTTGCGGACGGTTATAATGCAAAGGATGGAATCGTCAATACGCGTATTATCGTAATACTTAAACTGTCGTTGCGAAGACGATCTCCAATAACAGTACCACGGAACATGGCGGACGCACTATCGCTCGCTTCTCCTTTGCTCTAGAAAACGTTCACACACCACAATCCGGTTACGTTCGACTCCGAATACGGACTGGTACCGATTACGTTTAAGAAAGGTATTTCAATGTAACGCAAACCGAAAGCGCCGCGTAGCAGTCATAGCGAAAACTAATAACGGAAAAGCGCGCCTTATTCTAATATTATATCAAAAAATACAGAAGTACATAGAAGCTCGCAATTCCCCTTTTTTATCTACCCAGTTTAAATTTTGTTACTACAGAGACCACCAGTAGGCGATAGTAGGTACTTACCGCGATGACGGTACAATACTATCAAAGAAAACAGTATTCTTTGATAGTGTATGATAGTATATGTTATATTCTTTATAATAGTATACATAACTATATTTTTATTGTGATAGAATTTTAAATAATTATTTTAAATTTTTAGTGTATAAACATGTGTGTGCCTTCACAAATGCATTTATATATATATTTTAAAAGGCAGCCACTTAAACTGCTCAAACTGAAGAAATTTAAAAAGGTTTGTTGTTTAATCCAACGATGATCACCTGTAACAAGAAGAAAACTATATTAATCATACAATCAAGTAATACAATAGCCTAACATATAAGTGGTCCAATTTACAGGTGCACTTTTCATTTAAATTCCGTATTTATTTTTATCCAATCTCATTTACTTTGTATAATATTCGAAAAAGAAATTTTCCACTCCTGAGTGAAAATTACAATCACGCAACTTCTCCGGTCCCTACCTAATCACAAATTAAATAAACATTCACGCCTAGGTATGCTACATGCCTGTATATTAGCAATATTTAAAAAGATCAAACATACATACATACATACTCACCCACTCTCTCTCTCTCTCACTTCACGATTCTCTCACATACCACCAGGGTGCAAAAGCCTAAACTAGAGAGCATGCCCCGGGGCAYCTCCGACACCCTAGTTCAAACGCGTGTTTTCTAAACTTATGGGAGTACGTACAAATGCTGTAATCGTCTGCGTTACTAAAACTGTTGTACCGACAGTCGGTAAACTATGTAACTCTGTCGGTAAGACAGTTTATACTCGGTCGGTATACAGATTTATAAACTCGGTCGGTAAAATAGTTTTTATTTATTAGGTGGATTATTGATATTATACACATGCGCAACGTTAGGAAAGTCATATAAACAACATTGAATAAAAGTAATTTGATAGAGGACAACGTCTGATTTCAACGGTGAATTTCGAAGGAGAAGGTACATACATTATATATTCCTAGCTTTTAAACAGCAATAGACATTTCTATCGATTAATTAACAATTATTCTTATATTCTAATGCACTCTTTTTATATTTTAGATTTTTTAAACACATACTATGTGTGTATGTACTGGTTTAAAAATTGCATACTTATTAACATACTTTTAATATAATATAATTTTGATGTGATTTATGCTATAAGGTTAATGGGTTAATAAAGTATACATTTCGACAATTGTTATGTTCCTATATACTATTTTTAACTATTCGATATTTTTCTAGAATAGATGGAAAAAATGCAAAATTATCAAGGTCATCAGAGCTACGAGGCTATGCGAGTGGACTATCGCGCATACTATTGCACAGCTGATGCGCAGTAGAGGCGTCGCAGAAGCAACACAGTTGCATCGCAGGGGAAAGGCAGAGGAAACGCCATATTGGAATGTGTCAGCTGTTCCAGCATACTGCATCATCTATTTTAATCCAGGTAATTGAAAAGTATTTTACACCTTCCTATTATATTTCARACGATAGCTACACACAAGATTTTTATACGTGAGTGTTTTTAAAACGAAATATTAAAAAATACGGAAGATATAATCATCGATGTATCTCTAAGATGTTTTCTTTGATAGTAATATACCGTCATCACGGTAAGTACCTACTATCGGCTACTGTTGGTCCCCGTAATAACAAAAATGAAACTGGATAGATAAAAAAGAGGACTTGTGAGCTTCTATGTACTTCTGTATTCTTTGGTATGATCGAATAATACAATTCGGAAGTGATTCAAATCTTTTTGTTTTTTTTTTTATTTATTATTAATATTTCATTTTTTTTTATGTTGTAGTTAATCGAGATTAAGGAAAGACGGTTTTTCTTTTTCTTCGGTGTATTTATTCATTTTTCGTATTATTAATCTCGGTTTTTAGTATTTTTTTTCTTTATTAGCCGTATAAAACGATTTGTGCAGATTAGGGCTATGTTACTATTTGTAATTGATAGTATAAACATTATAAACATTATAAATGTAGATTACCTTTCGCTTCGATATTTAATATCTTTACAAGATTGGCAATAATATGTTTATGTACACGTAATTAAATCAATTCGATCTGCATCTTCTTAGAAGGAGTGCATAACCAAAGATATGAAATACTATATAAATTATAGTCATCAATATTATATTCATCCAAAAATTGTTTTCATCAAAATCATAATATTCTAATACTTCTGATCCTTCGGTCATGCAAGGCAAATCTTCATTAACAATTTCGCACGCTAAAAATAAATGGTGTTTAATAATTTTTAAATATAATAAGATTTTATAAATGATTTATATAAATAATATATATATGTATGGGTTTATATCTTACATATGTTGTGTACGCCACTCCATTGAATAATAGAAAGAGCTTCCGTTGAATGCAACAGCCATGAAATGTATCTTACCCAATGCAGATAAATTGGCAATGTACTTTAATTGAATGTTTCATTAAAATGTTAATTATTATAGAGATTATATTCAGTTGAATTAATTTCTATCTTGTAGAAACTGTTATTACCTTAATTTAATAAAAGGACCCATACTGATCATGAGAATGTAATCAAATGGCACCAAATATGCCATCGCTAATGGTACAGAATCAAATGCCGCAGAAAAGAAACACCCTAAACAATGTATTTTTTTACATTGCCAGGTTAATACATTACATGTAATATGTATGTTGAATTAATGTAATAACATACCACAAGCAGTTGACACATTCATTGTGAACATAATAACCATCATAGATAAAATCACAGCATCCGTTGTTGCACGCAATCCAGAAAGCCAGTAAACTATTGTTATAAATAATATAGGTTCCAGTATTAGCCCAGGTATCTGAATCGAATATTTAATTTATCTTTCATATTAATAAATTTACACTTATCGATTGTATAGAGAATTTAATTTACCAAAGATAATATTCGAGCTAAGTAATAAAGATGAACAGAATACATTCCAGCACGATATTCTCTAAGAAACAATGGTAGTTCTTGCGGTATCAAAGATAGGGTCGAGTACATTGGAAAAAATGCATTTTCAGAAACTATTATAAAAATAACACCCTGTGTTGCTTGTATTCCAAGTTGATCCAGATTTACTGCACCCACAAAACAAAGCCCAGCCATCGTTGCAACACACTACATATCAAACAATAATATGCAAATTATTTTAATATTTACTATCGATATAAAATAATTTGTTGATTTACCAATTTCTGTAACATTCTAATCAGCTGTAATGATGGATCTCTAATAACTTGCATGAAACCACGATGAACCATCCAAAATAGTTTCAACCAACATTGCAATTGTTTGCTTGAAATAAAATTTTAATATAAATCATACTAATTGAAAATATCAACCGTGAATAATACATTTCTCAATGAGAATAAATACTTACAAATCGTTTGGGCGTATAACGTCATTTCTCAACTGTAAAAAATAAAGAAAAAACAAGATGAATGAGATGTTGCAACTGAAAATTACAATGAAAGAAATATATTATGTAAAGTTTCTCACATCATAGGTTTTAGCTATATGCAATTCCAATTGTATGTTAACATCCATTTCTTCGCATGCCTCACTTGTTAGAAAAGCATCACAAATTCTTTGTGCTGTTCTTTTGCTATTGTCCTCATCTCCAGGAGCTAATGCAAGAGTTGCCACAAGAAAATCAGCAGGATTGTAAACTTCAGGACACTCGTAACCTTGACTATGAACAATCAAACAGAATCAATCAAATATTAATAATTTGAGCATAAAAATTTATTCATATAAAAAAAAATACCTTGCAAAAAAACGGATAGCTTGTTCACTGGTACCAGCAAACGCGATTCTTCCATCAGCAACCAGTATAATTCGATGAAAACAATCAAAGATCGCTGAACTCGGTTGATGTATGGTACATAAAACTGTCCGACCTCTCGCTGCGAATTTTCTTAATTCTGATATTAAAACGCTAGCAGAATTAGCGTCTTGACCTGTCGTTGGTTCGTCTAAAAATAATATCTTTGGATCTGTGAGTAACTAAAACAAAACAAAAAAAATACAAAATGAATTAACATACAATCGGCGTACAAATTTCGAAAATTAGATGCTAGAATATTTGATAAACTAATGTAAGAGATAAAGAAAGATATACCGTACTTCCGTTGCAAAAGCTAGCCTCTTCTTTTCTCCACCTGATAAAATTTTTTTATCGTCTTTGTCGCCAATGCGAATATTACTACTGCAGGTCAAACCGACGTCGCGCAACAAATGATCTATTTTTCCACGAATATCGCGACTTCGTGTTCTTCTGTCCAATTTCATTCGAGCCTTTAAAAAAAAAAATAAAAAAGAAAATATTTAAAAAATATATTAAGAAATATGATACGAATTCTTCGATGTTTTTTTCTTTTTTAACGCTAAAAATCTTTTTTTTTATTTATACTTTATTAATTAAATATATATGAACCATAAACCAGAGATGTTCCAAAACGGTCATAGTTCCAATAAATATATCTTCCTGATGCATAAACCCACTGTGGTGTTTCATATAAGATGATCCAACTGGAACACCGTTCACACGAATATCACCGTGCACCACGATACCAGCTGGAAAAAATAAAAATTGTCTCCGTTACGCGCTTGATCTTTCAAGATATTTCTTTAAAATATTCAGAATTTCATATACAAATTTTTATTATACTTACGTCCTGTACGAAGTGCCAATGCCGTCATTAATGATGTTTTACCGGATCCGCTAAATAGAAAAAAAAAATATTTAAAAAAATATTACTAATATCTCTTTCATTATTTTTTCCACAATTACAAATATCATTGATTAATATTAGGATGAACCGAAAGTTTTATATATTCTTTTGTAACTTTTGAAAAACTCTTTCATATTTATTTATCAGCTTAAATAGCTTAATTGATCATTTAACATTTTCATTTTGGAATTAGAATATGGAACATTTGAAAATTCGAGCACTTTCACTTTTACTGAACTCATTATTTCGCAAACATCAATTGTTCGACATTTTAAAGCTATTGGAATATATTTTACCTGCTTCCTAATATCGCTGTTAAATTTCCAGGCTTGATCACTCCTCGAACTAAAAACAAAATTTCAACGTCATAAAAACTATAGTTTAGAGAATATATATATTTGAAAAAAAATATATATATTTTTACCATTATTTATTAGTTGTTTACATATACTTTTTCGATCACGATCCATTACATAAACAGAAAGTTCACGCCAAAAAAGTGTAGCCCTAGATGAATCTTTACTATTCGTTGATTTTTTTATCAATTGATCATTCATGATTACCACAAATTTCAAATAATTCTTCAATATTTTTGTACACTTCTCAAAATTATTCAATATTTTCGAATATAATTTTTAGATTCTTTTTATATCTGTACAATATTAATTTTGTGTCAGGATATTTATATGATGATAATTAAACTCAAACATTTAAACAACATTGTCGTCATGCATGTAACAAAATTATCTCACCCACGCACAAACGCGCACAAATTTAAATTATTATTAATCGAAGAATCTGTCCAAAAACATTATATTTTTTTCTTTTTTTTTTTTTAATTACAATTATCGTAATATGTACTCTAAACTTTCTTGTATTTTTTGTTCTTTTGAAACCTTAGAAAAATTCAAGAGCTATCAGAGAGGAAAGTAACGTGTCAGCACAGTGTGGAGTACTGAACTGACTACACCAGAGTCTTGAAATGCTTCGCTAACCCCTCGATCATATTTGCGGATAGTCTTATGAATTTGATACGACTTTGATAAAACCAAAAGTAATTGTATTCTTTTTATTTACACACATTCTTTTTTTTTCTCCCGTTTTATATATCTCACATATAAAATTATCTCATGTAAGAACTTTCTCGATAAAATTTAAACATTATTCTTTTTTTCTTTTTTTCTTCATTTCTTCTTCTTCTTTTCCTCCTCCTTTTTTTTACTTGGCTCATAAATATAAATATGTAAGACCATAGAAGAAACAATAGACTTTCACTTCGATTAAAAAAAAGAAAAAAGAAAAAAAGAAAAAAAAGACAACTATATATCCCTTCGTAAAGTGTAAGACGTCTGAGACTCAGATTATGGTAATTGAAAACCGAAACCTTACACTTACTGTATGCCACGTAAGTGTATAAGTATTTGGGATAGATTATATATTGTAATTCAATAACTTATTTAAATTACCAATCATTTTCTTTTTCATCGTTTATCTCTCATTAATGGTAATAATCGTAGATTTCTTGTTTTCTAATTTCAATATTCGTTTCAAGATATTGAAATAATAAAAAAGGATCATTCGCAATGATGTTGAAAAGTCAATGAAAAATAGCGATCTCGAATAACGTTAATTTCGTTTTAGATGAATTAAGTACAACTGTCTTAAAAAAAAGAAAAAAGAAAAAAAGAAGAACAGAAGTTCTTCCTTTTTTTTTATTGGCTTTTTTTTTATTGTGGTCACACGGTGTATATTGTAACCGGTTTGCAACGATACTGTAACATATCAAAGGATAGTGGACGTCTGTACGGGAAATTACGGTGGATTGTTGCGGATCGCGTATACCTTTTTTTAATAACACATAGATCAATGCATCACGCACGCCCATACCTTGCGGTGATTATATGTCAGAATCGATAAAAATGATTATTTTGATAAGCATTGAAAAAACATCTAACTCATTCCTTATAATATATTTCTAATATATCTGTCAATATTTTTTATAATTCAATTTATGTTACAAACGATTGTATTATATATAAAAATTACATTGTATTTTTATTTTTATTTTTTTTTTTACATAAAGTACATATAAAGACAATATCGAAGAAAGTATTCAAGGGATTTTTTGTTGTTGAGAGATTTTTATTTTATTTTTTTTGTTTATTATAACTTAAAACGTCCAAAATATAATATAAAGAATATGATCTAATTAATCAATTGTGGTAGATTGAGGCAGTGATAAAAAGTTATTCTTTTTTTTTTTCTTTTTTCATTACTATTATTTATAATATTCTTTTATCTAGGACGTCTTGTCTTCGATAATAATGCGAGAAACGCTAGAAAACGAAACGCTATGATAAGACAGAATAGACAAATGATATCCATCCAAAAGTTTTCCTAAAACAGAATTATTATTAACAATCTTTTAAATGCATTTCTAATCGATAGAACTCTTAAAGCTAAACTTACCGTGATCGGTTTTTAATTACGCAATTAAAATTCGTTACACAATTTTTCTTCATAAAAATTATTTTATTATTTTACTATTATCTAACAAAAACGTTTTGTTCATTTAACCTGATTAAACTGGGATTGATTGGGTCAACATATATTGATTATAAAAAAAAAATATCTAGCTTTTTGTTAAAAACCGATTACGGTATATTGTTGATAAATTGTATTCACACCTGTTTGAAATTAAAAATCTGAAGAACCATACGTCCACTCTTTGGACAGGTTGAATTACTCCTGGTACATTCTATTGTATCTACATCTGCCCATTGATTAATAAGAAGAGCCTCGTTTCCATATCGAAACCATGACAAATATGAGAACCATTCAAAATATGATGGCACGGATCTAACAAAATATATTACAATACATAAATATAAATACCGAGGAATCGTAACATTTATTCGTCCTATCTTTTTTTTTTCTTTATATTTTTTCAAGCGAATAAAAAAAAAACAAGACGAATATTATAATGCAATAATTCAAAATAATTCCAATTGATATATTTCATTTGATGAATATTTATTTCATGTTTTATTTATATGATTTATTTACCCTGCATTTAAGAAAAATCCACCAAACAATAGAAAAGGTATTATCACCGGAGGTCCTATCGATAGTGCCATAGAAACATTGGTGCTAATACACGAAATGAGGTATCCTAAAAATATTAATTATAATTTAAATTATTATTTATATTAAAAATGCATAAAAATATATAATAGTGCATAAAATAATATGCACGATACGCGTAATAATATTTTTCATTATGTTTGTATAAACAATTATTACGTTGTAAATGATTCAAACTTAAATAAATATATGATCATGTTTCTCAAACATACTATAGTTAGTCACAAGGATTTAAAATATATATTACGACTATGGAAATGATCGAAACACAAGGTGATACTCTACTTACGTTTCAATATTTTTATCTTATTTCTCTTAACGGATTGAATTAGTCGACGATATGCAAGGTTGCAATAGAAATTCAACTATACACTCTCTTATTTATTTAATTATTGAAACGTTCATTTAATGTTCACACTTACCGAATGAAGTAGAAACGTTTGCTACGAGAGTGACGATGGCTACGGTTATAAAAAAATGATCCACGCTGGGATATAAACCAATCATCGGGTAAACGATTATAGTAAATATCAAAGGAACAGCTATGAAAATCGGTGTTTCTGCTAAAGTTTTGCAAATGAAATAAATGTCCGTGCGGTACATCCCATTCCGATGTTCTCTTAAAAATATCGGCAATTCCGCACAAAATACCTGCAAAGAAAATTATTATTATGAAAGAGAATAAAAAATAGAAAAAAAAAAGAAATAAATATTAACTCCTCTATCATTGCAACAAAGTTTCGTTCACGGTCGCTCATGCAATCTTCTCTTTGATATACGACATAACGTTATTCGGTATCTTATGCTATCAATGTAGAGGTCATCGATATAATATAAAAAATATAAAACCGATACTAAGTAAATAATTTTTAACTTTACGAATATATAAAAATTAAATCTCCTTACGCTAATCACAGCAAAAACGTTTTGGAAAGTCATGTTGGTCAGAAATATAAAAAGTGCACCATTGATATTCATTACACCGTCTTGATCCAAACGTTGATGAAAATAAATGACGCCGATTAACAAAGAAACTAGCTAAACATAAAACAAATAAATTTATTTTCTTTTTTAATTCTTATGATTACTATTATCATTCACATAAATAATGTTGATAAATAACCGTACAATAGTCTGCAAAAGGCGGACTTTGATGAGAATTGGTTCTTTGATCACTGCTATCCAAGATCTCCACAATACAGCACGAAATTGTTCACACCAGGAAGCCTTGTAGGGTGATTTAGTATTATTCGAATATAATTCCTCTTTTAAGGAATGTTCGAATTCCCCGTTCACCGTTTCAGCTTCTAATGCTATTTTTATTCCATAGTCGCTTTTTTGAAACGTATCGCAAACTGTGTTAATCGAATGTTTACATGAATCTTCTCTACCGGGTACTACAGCAAGTACTTGAATGAAATAATCAGCTGGATTGTAATTGCTAGGACAGGCAGCTCCCAATCTGTAACATAATTCGTTGTAGACGTTGTAATTACGTTCGAAAATTGATCAATATGATAAATAATTGAACTTACGTTTTGAAAAAATCACAAACTTGCGTAGTTGTACCCATGAAAGCGACTCTTCCTTCAGCCATTAAGAGAATTCTATCGAATAGGGTAAACAATTCCGAGGATGGTTGATGTAACGTCGTGATAATAGTTTTTCCACGTGCTAGAAAAAATATTGTATAAATATTAATTGTTCTTTATTTGTCAAATGAGGGTACAATTGAGAGAATATTAAATTTACTCGTCAACGTTTTTAAAACAGATATAACTTGATGGGCCATAAAAGAATCTAGCCCGGAAGTTGGTTCGTCGCAAAACATCAAAGGTGGATCTGTGAGAACTTCCGATGCAAAAGATAATCTTTTCATTTCACCACCTGAAAGCCCTTTTATACGACCTGGTACGCCAATGATCGTATTTCTACACTTTGTTAGAGCAAGCTGCAGTAGCAATAGAAAATATTTCATTAAGTAATATAGATAACGATCTAATAATTTATACGTTTGATTATCACGCAAATCTACGTACACTTTATTAGCATAAAAAAAAAAAGTTGTTTCCCTGATTAATTACCTCGTTAATAACCTCGTTCACTCGTTTCTTCCTTTGTTCAAAGGATATATGTTTATCCATTCGAACCATCGCTTGAAATAGCAAATGTTCTTTAACAGTCAATGTACCGATAAAAAGATCGTCCTGTTGTACATAAGCTGTCCTTGACGTTAAAATTTGGGATGATACTTTTTTACCATTGGCTGCCATTAATCCTGAAACTGTGACACCTGGACCGGATCGAAATGTTAACGCATTTAACAAGGTTGTTTTTCCTGCACCCGATGACCCCATGATTACTAGCAGTTCACCAGGATAGGCCACTCCAGATACTATATATTTATGCATAA